GTAAAGCAGCAAGAGCGGAGCCTTGGCACCCACTGGTCACCATGGGTGGTGGGGCTGCACGCTCCGGCTGCAGGAGGGAATATTCACCTTGCTCTTTGTGTAATTAAAACTGAGAAACCAGAATGCCTGAATTTCCTTTCTGGACCACAATAAAGCCCATGGGGTCAGGGCCTGAGGCGGTCACCAGTGATGCCTTGGGCAGAGAGAGGTTTTTGGGTGCCCAGCTCAGCACCTGCATTTTTTTGTGGCCAGTGGATTTTAGACCATGTTCCTCGTTAAAGAAGGAGGAACCAGAATTGATGGGAAATGTTCTGATTTTGGTAAAGGTCGGCATGCACAGGCTCTGAATCCTGGAAGGCCTTTTGGACTCTTTATTGCACTGGAAATTACTTGGTCTTTTCCTCTCCCGCACTATGACACTAGAATTGACCCTCAGTCACAGAAATGTCCCAGTAAAGCACATAATCACTCAAGAATGAGGGTTTTGTGCAACGGCGCTCACCAGCAAAGAAAGGAAAGTAAATATCTGCTTGGTATCTTATTTTAGACAATTGAATTAAAAAAGCAAAGCGGCAGGAAGGGAAGTTGGAGTTTCGGTTCCTGCAAGCTGAAGATTTGCATGGGCTCAGCACTGGCAAAGACGTGAGCTCACGCCTGGGTTGGCTCCGCAGCTGCCGTGCGTGCGGTGGAGGTGAAGCGAGAGCCTCCGGGCTCGTCAGGGCCTGAGCGAGGCTTTGGTAACGAGCTGGGGCAGCGACGGACGCTGGGTTCCTACCGAGAGGCTTTGTCACTGATACCCTCGGCTCTGTGAAGAATTGGGCTCTGACCGAAAGGCGAAAGTGAAAAACAACTTTCGGCGCTGCCTGAATTCGGTTAACCTGCCATGCATGTGTGCACTGGAAAACTTGCCATTTCTGCAAAATCGGAACACGTGAGGTTGTGGTTTTTGTTTCAGCGAGAGGCGAGAAGGCTCCTGTGTGTGGTACTGGTGACAGGGCCAGGTACTGGTGCTGCTGCCAGGGGACATTTAAAGGCATTTTGTTTCCCCAGATCCATGGGGCAGGAGGGGAGCAATGCCCTGGCATGGGGACAAAGCTGCCCCTGGCCCATTCTGGGGAGGTGGCCCCAGTCTGGGCAGCTCTGGGTGTGAAAGTCCTTGGCCGTGAGAGTTCTCCCCTGAGATCTGACAGCTCTGCCCCCAGAGTGGGACTTCGGGTCATTTCTCCACCTAAAATAAGAAGCGGGCAGAGGAAGCCATAGCCCACTCTGCTATTCTGACTGTCACAGCACACCACCACCCTTCCTCACCACCCACGGGCATTATTTTTGGGTTTGTTTGCTCGCACAGCTCCCGCTTGGTCTGTCTAGGGCTGACAAGGATGTCCTGGCCCTGCCCAGGTGCCCATCAGCAGCCACAGCCGAGCCTGGAGATGCTTCCCTTCACTGTTGGGTTCATCCCCAGGGGAGGCAGCACCTGGGGCAGCACAAACCAGTGCCTGCTCTGGGATGGATGGGGGCAGCTGTGTTCATCCCTCTCTAATTCCAGTTTACCGTCTCCAATTTCAGTTTACTCCCCCCTGATTTCAGTTTACCTCCCCAATTCCAGTTTACCCCTCTCAAATTCCGGTTTACATCCCCCAATTCAGGTTTAGCCCCCAGTTCCAGGGTACACCACCTAATTCCAGTTTACGTCCTGCCCAGCCCAGTCCCATTTGACACCGAGGGCTTTTAAACTTAACTTTAACTTTTAAAAAGTAAAAATACACAAGCAGAGAGGAAAAGCTGGGGGGTGGAGAAGCAACAGGCAGCAGCGATGCTTTATTCAGAGCAATGAGGACTCCAGGACACAGATGTTCCCCTTTTTTTGGTTTTCTGTACCAGGTTCTGTGTGATTTGGCTGGGGTATTTGTGGCCTAAGATGTGACCTGGGATTGTGGGCTGGGTTTTACTGGTTTAAATTAGGGCTGTAAGCTGGAGTCTCTATTTTCTTAAAATGTAGGAACTTTCCTCTTTAGGACCCTGGTTCACAGTCAC